TGTCCATCTTTCTCAAGTGGACACGCCGCGTTGAAATCCTTCAGAAACAACTCGCGATCTGGGCACCACGGCTCCTCGATTTTGGACTTGTTGTCAATTTGCTCGTGATCGAGTTTGCGCAGTTTTGACTGTATCATTAAATGCATTTTACGTGCAAATTGCATGTCTTTATAGGCTGGCGTTCCTTCAATCCAAGGCTCTCCGTCGTACCAACTAACGAATCGTTGTATGGTCGAAGTATATCTTGCAAGTTAATTATATTGTTAGGATCAATTTAACAAAAAAAGCATACATTAATTGGTAGTACTATGTCACAAAGCATATAATACCTTATAATAATGGTGTATTAAATGTAGTTAAGAGAAATAATATAAAAATAATATTAATAAAATGGCCAATCCTGATAAAATATACTAATACTAATAAAAATTATAATAAAATAAAAATCTATAACATTGATAAATGTAATACTGTACTAATTAGAAAAATTGATCGCGTTTAGCAGAAAAAGCAGAAAAGACAAAAAAAGCTTTGCAATTGTTTGGTTCTTAATTGGGGGTAGCACCCGATTGACCACGTTACGATTTAACATAAATCAATCACAGCGTTTGAAACTAGAAACCTCTAGGCACCGGCCGCTGTGAGTAGCTGTATTTAATCGTAACGTGATCAATCGAAATCCTCCCTTTGATTGGTATGATTGATTCTTGCTCTTAGCTAGTTCAATACTGAATCTAAATGTATAAACCCATCATATTAATGAATCATGCAAAGCTGCTGTCTCTGCCAAACACAATTATAAAATATTCTCAGCAAATATTGATTTTGCTATTGATTTGAGCTATTTTGTCTTTTTATACAGCTCAAAGTACTTGATGCACAGTATATTATATCACTGGGATTTAATTTAATATTATATTAAATTAAAAATAATTTAATATTATATTAAATTAAAAAACATACTTTTTGAATGCTGTATATGGCGTTTGAGAGCCCTTTGATACGATTAACGGTTTTGCAAAGTCATGGAAGGCATACACTATTATGTAGCCCAGTATTTTGGCAAAAAAAATTGACGCAAAATTTTCACACACAAATTTCTGCCCTCTGCGGTACTTATCCATGTCCAACCACTCGGGTATCTGTATCGGTGACTGATTGCAATCTCCTGGATGATAAAGGGCCGGAATAAAATCTAACAATGATTTTGGTACGTTTGGAAAGAATGTGGCGATGTTATCGTTTATCCACTCGTATTGCTTTCGTACAGTCCACATATCGAAATCTTTCGTAAATAATTTTCGATCGAACATGCTCTTAAACATCATTATGTATTTACGTTCATTTGAACTTTTCGAAGTGTCTTCTAAACCTCCAATGTTCGTAGACATACTGTTAGGAAACTTCATATTTTGCGAAAAGAATTTTTATACAAACGAAAAGTACTGTTGCGAGATACTGCGTAGTTTATCACTTAAGCTCGTATTTATAATCGCTGATGAACTTAGCTGGTACTATATATAATCCTTAATTCACTTCAATAGATAAATATTGAGAGTTGATTATATATTCATAACTTTACATTTGTAATTGTCATTTAAGTGAGGAACATAATCAGATGACGTTTGCAGTTTTGAAGAGAAGAATTTAAATTCTCTTTTTCGCAATCCATTAGTCAAATCTTGAAAAGAGATCTCAAGAATATGTTTTAATAGATCTTGTTTATATCAGCTGAAGTGCTGATCTTGAAGTAAAAAAAAATAACGTATGTCTCAAGTGTGATTTCAAAATGACATGAGATAATGAAATATCATTTACAATATATGTTCAATTTTCCTGCTGAAAGCCATGAATATCATGATAATTTTGATAAATGTATAAACTATAAACATAATCTCCGATTACTAAGACGTTACATTAGAAATGCTCGAAAACCATTCGAATGACGATCTGATGAGGAAAGAGTTCATCAAGAGATACAGATTTAGAAGGAACCTGTTGTAGATTAAATTCTTCCTCGAATTGAAGAATCTCTTTTCAAAGCGCTTCAAAAAAGAGTCTTTCTCCCTTTTAATTCCACCAATTAAATTCTTTCTTTATATATGCAATTTTATGACTACAACTTCCTCTCATCCAAGCGCTTTCCTTTATTTGTTTTAAATTATGCATGGATGGAAAATATTTAATGCATTAATATCAAATATTTATACAAGTAATAAACATTTGACTTAAA